AGTATAGTGTAATATCAATGATCTGAGACTGAAGGCATTACGGTGTTCAACTTGGGCTTTATAATTTACATTCTATTTCTATTCCTGGTAACTTCTACTGGTTTTAATTATAGTTCTATTTCTAGTAACATGAACGGTAATAATAATTAATACAAATTTAATACTAAATCAGTAAATGTGTGATTTGGATACGGAATACTGCTATTTTTAAGTATTTATAATATTATGACCTTTCAGTTTAGATTATAATTATAAAATAGCAGTTATACTATAGTCTGTAGGCTTAAATTTACTGCTACTAGTGCTAGTACTAAACATGTTTATTACAAAACACAATCTCCCCTTTTTTAACATTTAAATCATGCATGATCTATGACCAGTGGTAATAGCAGCTTGTAAGATTTGCAGAGACATTGTATGTTATCTTAACATTTTATGCATCTTATTGTTAATGTTATTTAATTGTGGTGCTTGTGCTCAGTCTAATACTAATAGTTTGGTAAAATAAAGCTTGAAGGATTGTTTGAAAATTCATTTTGAGAAATGGGTTCCAATAAAGATAGCATAGTGTTACTTGCTTATCAAATTTAAACATTTTTCACAATGTTTTTATTTCTTGTGATGAGTATTAGTAATAGTACTAACATACAGTAGTAGCTTTAAGAAACTAGGTTCAGAGGTGTTAAATTAGTTCTCATATGGAATTGTCTAAGTTATTGTTATAACTGTTCTTTGAATTTTAATGTAACTGCTCAAAATTTTTGCAGATTATTGTTTGAGGATATATATGTACTGTAGTTATTAATTAGGCCTCCAAAATATTGTTATTCTTATAATGGTTTCTGTTTGGCTGGGTAATTTTTTATTATTTGGTAATAAAAGAAAATTGCAAAATTCAGTTCACTCAATGATGATAAAATGATTTTATTTGACTAAAGCTTAGTAAAATTCCACAATTTCATGTACTGACCTTAATATTCACCAAGCAATAAGGCTTAATTTCACAAATAACACTAAACAATCTGGTGTTAACTATTTCAATTACTTACTATACTTTCTTGTCATTTGTATCTCTTTTTGTTGGAACACAAATTTAGTATTCACAAAACTTAAATAACTGAGTCACCAATTCAGTAACCAAATTAATTTTAATAGACTTGCTAATCATTCAAGAATCTTAATGCAGTCTTATCTAACTTGTGTTTTATAGCAGTTAAATTGTTAAGAGTAGTATTTGAAATATCATTCATGGATTCTGGACATCTAGCCACTGTCTTTGCTAAACATTCAAGAAAGTTGTACTTATTAAGTCAAGAGCTTCTCCTATGATGTTAACTCCCATTAGGCAAATAATAATACAAGTGTCTAGATTGAAAAACATAGCCTATAACAGATTTAGTTTTATTTTGTTCTTTACATGTAGTAATATTCTAAAAATCTTAGTTTGTTTAACAAAAAACTGGAATAAGCATTCAAAGAGTTTTTTCCATATACTCTTATAAGAATTTAAGTTTAATATTTTAGAAATGAGTTCACTAATAATAATAAAAAGTACAAAAGAAATGCTGTTCTCTTAAAAAAAAATTAACACTCACTATTTCATCACATTAGAGTAGGTAAAGCTATTAGAAAAACATTTAATTTTTATGAATCTTTGACATTTTTTGGAATAATTTTTATAAGGTCTTTCTCAATAGGTTAAAAGTAATATAAATATGAAACTTGTTGTTAGAAGTAAATTTAGAACTAAGTTTAAAAGTCTTTTATCAAATATTCATGGCAAGATAAAAAAAAGGGTGGTGATTATGAATTTTATCTATAGAAATGTTAATTATAAGAGTTAATTTTTATATAGAACTTGTTAGCTTTTTTTTTCAATAAAATCATATTAATTTCGGTCTAATAAAAGTGCTACTGATTTGATGGAAGTGTACAGAGGAGAGATATTAAAATTAGTTATAAAATTAGGCTCTAGCACAACATCTTTTGGAATACAAGAGAATAGAGATATTTGATTCAGATGTTCATAATGATGAAAGGGTTGTATAATCTGTTTGCAGCCAACTAGTTTGATATCTGGAAGGTTAAAGGTTGATACTTGATATTCTGTTTCCCTGGTATGTAATTGTCTCTCACTGGCCATTCCTTCTTTTTGAAATGATTTTTATTATCTTGAGACTGTCCCAGAGACAAAAAGCAACAATGTATGGTATACCCACTCTGCAAACATATGGGGATCGTATTTGATGGCCAAGTATAATCTGTATTCTTTGATAAGTTTATTTCATGTTCACAGCATGAGCAACAGGAATCAATGGCTTAGTACAGCTTTCAGATGAGTTGATAAAAAGTTTATTCTTGAGGATTATGTTCAGTACCTGATTCTTCTATTAGTGCATCAACATTTACACAGAAACAAACTATTTTGCATGCTGTAGTGGGAAGCAAGACTTTGGTGGGGACTTCGTTAAATTGAAATTCTTGTTCCTGGAGCTAATAAATTCCATTGCTGTAAATGAAAGCCACAAAGTTTCTCATGCTGTTTTGATAGACAAGTTATGAATCAAACCATTTAGCTCTTCTTGTGTGATTAGATGAAACAGTTTATGTTGAAATGCCATAGGAATAGAATTATTGGATGAAGATGATTCATTGTCTTCTTCGCAGTATAACTCTTCTTTTTCCCAATTGTTTGGTGGATGTAGCACTAGAAAAACCATCCCCATGAACTTTTGGTTTCATTGCAGATGCAATATCTGGATATTTAATGAATTGTTTAGTTTGCCAGAATATTCACAAACATTAGTCATGAAAATATAACAGTGCTCAGAACAAGGCGAAGTGACCAACTGAATGAGTGAGAGACATCTGACTACTCTTTTTATGCTCAGTTGAGGGACTTCTCAAATGTTCTATCAAACTGAGCACTTGAGGGTTTTGTGATTCCTGGGCAGAGCAGGTGAGCGTGGGAATGAAGTGAAAGTGGTACAATTCGCTATTATATCAAGAACAAATAGCATCTATGAACAATATATTTAGAGTTTTACACCAGTACAATACAGTCAGTGTTTGAAGTTATCAAAAGTGTCCATTACACTGTCCAAGTAAACTTAATTTCACATCATAAATCTATTATACTGAGTTGACTACATGGTATTTCATATACTGCTGATGAAATATTGAGATATTATAATAACTCAAAATCCAGAGGTGATGGACAAATGTTTACTACATTTTTGAAATCAGCACCATCAGATTACCCCCAATCGTTTGAATTTTCTCCAGTAGCAATTTTTTTTTGTCCAGTGAATTATTCTCGTATAGGTTTTTAATAAACTCATTATGTTTTATATTTCCTGAATACTTAGGAGAAGGTGTTTCAGTAACTTGTGTCTATTTACATTGTACATCTATCTGCTTCTTCAGCTTATCTAGTTGGCATATTGTACTTGCATGATGATATTCTAGTTCTGTTATTTTCTTCTACTTTGAAATGATCCAGCTATTTCGTAATTTAATACAATAAATGTATTAACTGTGTATATTTTAAAATTTCACTATGCTTCTATAAACTTTCTTGATACATCATTTTATTTATTAGAATAATGTGAAAGTTGCTATCCTTGGGGCCAGTGGTGGGATTGGCCAGCCCATGTCATTGCTTTTGAAGAACAACCCTATGATCACCCATTTATCCCTGTTTGATGTTGCACACACTCCAGGTGTAGCTGCAGACCTCAGTCACATCAACACCAGGGCCAGAGTCACTGGCCATTTGGGCATAGAACAGTTAAAGGTGAGATGCTATAATATGTGTATGTACTTATTGTAGAACAGAGAGAGAAATATGGCTCCTTATATTTGTTGAATGATTGGTTTACGTATGACAACATTATGAAAATAATTTAATATAAATTACTTTTTCTTGATTAAAATAAAAATACTATCTTTGATCCAACTTGTGAAATTTAAAACATTTACATTAAAGTTATGGCAAAGACCTCTTATGTTCCATAGAGAAAGAGAAATTACTGGAAATATCAGATATGCCTATGTTTTATAACTGCAAAAGGTTTTAAAAGCAGTTTTAAAGGTGGTGAAATTTGATTGTTGAATATTTTAAAAATTCCTTAGATTATAAAGATGTAATTTTGTTGTTTTTTTAAATTAAAGTTAGCTGATTAAATAATAAAATAGAAAACCAAAGCTTTCCATGTAGTGATTGGTGTTTAATTGTTTTAGAGAAGAATACTTTGATTACACACACAAGATGATAATGATAATTTTTCATGTAATACTTTTACTTTCTGTATTTTTAAGGGATAATATAAAATTAAATCTTTTCCCTGAAATTATGTTTCCTATTGCACTCCAAAATAAGAAAAAATTATGAAACATATTTTCTCAAAGTTATATGAAGCTGCCATTCCTTAAAAAGCTGCTGAATTCAGGCATGCTGTATAACACTTAGTTTAGAAAAATGTTTATTGCTTAGTAACACAGCTAAACCAATATTTGCCACAACTGAAATTTGTTGGAACAAATTGAAGGCATTTATATAGTATATTATTTATTAACTAATAATTTCATACAGTTGTATGTCTCTAAAACTTAAAGATTTAAAACATTTTAAAATAAATATATATATTTATCACCAAAGTTATTCCAAGTGAAAGAAGGAAACCTATTGTCTTTAGCTGGAAATTAGTATGGGCTACACTTTTATACTGTCAAACAACCAACAAAATATCTTTCTTGTAATGTTAGGAGTCTCTGGATGGAGCTGAAGTTGTTGTGATCCCTGCTGGAGTGCCAAGAAAACCTGGTATGACTAGAGATGACCTTTTTAATACCAATGCATCTATAGTTCGTGATCTGACTGATGCTTGTGCTCAGACTTGTCCAAAAGCTATGATCTGTATTATTGCAAATCCTGTAAGGAAATCAAACTTTTGTTTTATACATGACATTTATTAGTAATTACAGTTAAAATAATTTTTTATGAATTTGGATACACTGACTACTACTTACTATAAGATAATTATTTAATAAAAATGTAACTGTGAAAATAAACTTATGTTAAGTTACAAAATTTCAGTCCACTTAATCATCTTGGTAATTTGCATTTGCATTCTGATGCATGATACACATTTGATTAAAAAATCAGGTTACTAGATCAGTAGATCTCGAAACTTAACTATCTTTTTTTTCTGATAATTTTTTAGACAGCTTTTTAAAATAGCAGTAGTAACTACTATCATAATAGATGATTTTATATCGGGCAAGATATGAAGTAGGCTGAATTTAAATGCTAGGTTTTTTGGTGTTAACTAATACTTGGTGGCCTGACATTAATTTTTATATTATGAATTTGATGGTCTATAAATGTTCAAAATAATTAATATTTGCTGTCTGTAGGTGAACTCAACAGTCCCAATTGCAAGTGAAGTTTTCAAAAAAAGGGGAGTCTATGATTCAAACAGAATTTTTGGCGTTACATCACTTGATGTAGTTCGAGCAAATACTTTCATTGCAGAAGCCAAGGTTTGTGTTTTGAAAGATTCAAACCTTAGATCTGTTAGTGATTGTTCATTTCTATAAGAAGTATATACAAAAGTTTCTTTTTAAAGGATGTAACAGATTGAAGTGTAAATAAAATGGTCTTTTTAACAGTAAGAAATGCTTTATTAATTACTGACTACCAGGATTCATAATTATTTTACTTTTTCTTGAAGGGACTGGATCCAACCCAAGTCAATATCCCAGTCATTGGAGGTCATTCTGGTGTGACTATTATTCCTGTAATATCTCAGGCAACTCCAGCAGTATCTTTCAAAGCTGATGAACTGGATGCTATGACAAAAAGAATCCAGGAGGCAGGAACTGAGGTTGTAAAAGCGAAAGATGGAGCAGTAAGTATTACACAAACAAAAATAGGTTATTGTCAAAGATGTGCATTAAATATTACACAAAATCAGTTGAAAAACATAAGTAGGAATCAGGGTGGTGAAAGTAGAAGAACAAAATCAGTAAATTGTAAACAAAGTCATTTGAAATACAGGTGGTAGGAACCAGGATGTAGAATGCTGAATAAGGTCCATTGATACAAAGGGGTAGAAATGTACTTAAAGCTGAGTGTGATTCAGTTAGTCTTACTCTTAATTAATTCAGCAGCCAAAATAGAATAATCAATGCTGTATATATATGTGTGTGTGTAGGGAAAAAATAGGTAAAGCTAAAATCTGTATTAAAATCTTTCATTCTGCAGAACACAAATGTCATATCCAGTCTTTCATGTAATATGAACTCCTGTGGTGTTGTTTGTTTAGTCATTATAGTTCAAACATGAATTGCCTAAAATTGTGAGTTTGTTATTTTATAACTAATTTTCATGTTTCTAGCAATATAGATTTTCTGATGTTAGATAATCAATGTACCTCATCATGTTAGACGTTGCTTATCTGTCTGTCTCTTAAAAAAAAAAAGTAATATTTTGATTCACAGTGACAGATTTATGTGTATTAGCCATTACTCAGTTTCAAGTACTTTAAACTAAAAATACACATTAGATTGTTGGTATAAACAGACTGCTGTTGTTATAGATAAGTATTAAAATCCTAATTGTAAATAAACCAAAATTATTCCTCTATAAATATTACAGAATAAACCTTTCTTTCTAGGGTTCAGCCACTTTGTCTATGGCTTATGCTGGTGCAAGGTTCACCAATTCGGTAAGGTTTTTTAAAGTCATTATGCCAGACAAGATTATCCAAATAATACCAAAAGAAAGCATTGTTGTGTAACAGAGGTGTTGCTAGGCACTGGCATATGGAGCCTGTGCCCCAATTCTATTTGACAGGACTCTGAATACCCAGTTGGTGTTTTTAGAAATCAGAATATAAAACTATAATTGATATCATACTGAAACTCCAAAAATTCCTGAGCCTAAGGGCTAGAGCCCTGAATTTTTTAAGAACCAAGCAAACACCTCTGTTTCGTACAATACAAATATCAAGCATAAGTCATTCAAACACCAGGTTTTTATAATTTTAGTTGATAGGATGTAATGATAATAGTCTTTCTATTGTCTGTATCAATAAATGAAATACTAACCTAAAACTAATAAATGCTGGAGGTATCCCATACGCTACAAAGATTTAAAAAGAAAAAAAAACAGCTAAAATCGGAAAGAAAAACTATCCAGTAAAATAATGTTTTGCCATTGTTACTGTGGCATCATCTTTATCAAGGGTGAAACATTGTTTTTATTGGGTATTTTTTCTATCCCATATTAGCAGTTTGTTATTCACTTAAAACATGTTAGCATTGTAGTTTAAAACTATATATATCTGTACAAAAGTTTAAATATTGTTGTTTTTGTTAAATTTTAAAAAAGAACAATAACTATAATATAGAAATATTAGCTGACATTACCTAGAAAAAACCCATACTATGACCAGTTCTTCATTAAGTTACGTAGATCAATGTTAGAAATGCTTTTAGTTGTGTGTTGGGATGGAGTAAAATATATTAATTGCTACGAGTTAAAATGAAGATATGTGTGAATATATAGATTTAAAACTATACCAGTTTTTTATTTTCAAACAACTTAGGTTCAGAGGGTTCTTTTTGTTTTCATTTGAAAATGTATGAGAGATGAACATTTCTGTGAACAACATTTAAATATTGTACTGAATTTAAGCTAAAATAATAATAATTTTGCCATTGCTGTAATTCACTGAAGAAATCATGTCCTCTGGTGGGACAGAGGTAAGTATGCAGACTTCTAATGCTAAAATATTGGGTTTGATTTCTCATAGTTGATATAGCAGATAGTTGAATGAGGTTTTGTTCTAAAAGAAGAAAAGAGGAGGAATCATGCTAAAGTTTGTTTTTTACTATTATTTTAAAGAAATATTATTCTCTTTTTTTGTGTTAATAACCTGTTTACATAACTTATTGTATGCCAATCTTACATTGTGAAAACAAACAAATGGAGAAATCCTGATTTGTGTTGTATATTACAGTTTTTCATTTTAGCATTATGTATTTACAATAGTGTTACTGAATTGATACATCTCAGGTTGATCAATTATAGTAAATTATATAGAACTATTATACACAGTTTTAATACTTGTTTTTAAAAAAGGAGCATGTACTCAAATAAAATCTTTTCTTTCTGAGTTGAATTTGAAATAAATGTGATAAATATTTGATTAAAACAGTTACTTGAAGCTATGAAGGGAAAGGAAGGAGTAGTGGAGTGTACATTTGTAAAATCTTCAGAAACAGAAGCTGCTTACTTTGCTTCTCCAATTCTGCTTGGGGTGAGTTAACATTCCTAAGTCTTTAGCTTGATTTATGACCCTTTTTTATTTGTATTTTTTCTACATACACAAGAACTTTGTTGTGTCTCTTTTTTCCGTAACTGTTGCTAATTATTGCTTTTTCTATATGACCAATTACTAATATTATAAACCTTCTTCACATTTCATAAAGTATACAATATATGTATTTGCCACAAATTTGCACTATATATACTTTTTTTCCGTACTGTTATTTATAGATAATTTTTTAGGTGGTACAGTTTGCTTAAATAATGAGAGGACTGGTCAACGTCAGTAAATAAATAAATCGTTAAAAAAAATAGTGGTCATAAATTTATATAATAACTGACCATTTCATATGCATCCCTTCCTAATACTGGCTTAGTGCACAGATATTGATAGCTTGGTCTAAACTGCACAAGATGCTGCAAAATGTCCTGTTTGGTTGCAGCTCATTCATCTAAGAGTAGGGTTTGCATTTAGTTCACAGATATTGGCAAAGTATTATAGTGGAATATTTCATGCTTTGGATGAAATTGGTGATTACTAATGTCATTATTGCAATATCATTTGGGAAGAGCAATTGTTCATCAGGGTGGAAATGTAGCATTGTATGGTAAATTGAATTAGCAACAACGTTCAACTAAACTAAAGTTTTCTTCATATATTTACTATCAATACAGACATTGGTATAGCTAAGATTTTTGTTCTAAAAGAGGGCACGTGAATTGGGCTAACATTCTTAGGGTTAACACAAAGTTAAGCAAATTTATTCAAGCTAACATCAACAGTTTAAGTATATTTCATTATGGCATAAGTAGCACCACTATCATAAATACAGAATAAATCATAATTGAAACATAAGTAATCACACTGTTTTGTGTCAAACACTTTTTATAAATATGAACCTCCACCAAAAAATGGACTATTCCCTACCATTGGGTATTTTACATTCATTACTGATCAGTACGTGGTTGTTTCAAGAATTACCAAAGAACAATTGTAGACAAGTGGGCTATATGGTTTTTATGGAATTCCAATCTGAGAGCAAACCAGTTAGTGATACTGTAGGAAATTCATCCATTAGTAAGTCATGTTCTTTCAACTCAATTTCTACATAAACAATTAAAGCAACATATAATTGACAGTATTAAACTTTTTTCGTATTAGTTAAAACAACCAGAGGAAGGGTTTCTTGTTCCAAAGTGTTGTGAACATTAAAACAATTATTTAACTTTCTGTGGTATAAATATTCTTTTTTTGTTTTCAATTTAATTATATTTCAGCAGACTTTTTTTTTAATATTCTTAGGGAACAATGTTTTGGTGGTAAAATATCAGTTAATCCACATTTCAATACTAGATGGCTGGTTGTCACGTACAGAATCAAATCTTTTTAATGTTTTATGGTTGACAAAAGTTTATCCTTAACACTGTTGAAGCTCTTTTTCTGTTTTCATAATGAAAGTGATTTGTTCAGCTGTGATGTCTTAACATCTTTCAAATGGGTTGGTTAATTTGGATAGTAATGTTTGAACTTCTATAAGCTCATCCAACAGTATTTTTCTACTAACCACATGTTTGAAAAATTGAATGTTGTCATTCATGGAACTTTTTGGAGGTTTTTTTTTTTTTAAAGAGTTGAAGAAAAAAAGTTTGTAGGAGATGTCTACATATATAAACTCGGATAGCAATGTGAAAAGAATCTTGCAAGACAAATTCTATATATTATGCCTAAAATTAAATTTCAGAAAACTGTGCTTTATTAAAATTATTTCAACCTACCTTAGTTTTGTGTATATGAACATATGATATAATTCTGATGTCTATGTATTATTAAATTTTTCCTGATATAGCCAAATGGAATTGGCAAAAACCTGGGCATAGGAAAACTTTCACCCTACGAGACTGAACTTGTCAAGACAGCCATGCCAGAGTTATTATCGAACATCAAGAAAGGGGAAGAATTTGTAAAAACGAGCTAGTTAAAGTAAATAGTTCAAGTGGCAAGTCTTTTCATTAAAACCTTTGTGAGTTGAATTAAGTAGTTTTGCTATAAGATTATGCAAGTGTTAAACCAGATATCATAATGTAGATAAAGTTTATCCAAGTAAAAACATAACACAAATAACTAAGCTTTGTCAAGTAATTTTATTAAATCACTAAGTAAAAAACAAAACTTATTAATAAAAACTTACCCAGTGAGTACACTGTATAGGAGGTAACCTATTAAGCAGTCCACATTATTACAAAAAATTGTCTCCTCAGTTAGGTACAAGTTGTTTAGAAATTAAACCCGAGTCTGGTCGGAACAATACTGGTTAATAGTGCTTTAATGTGTACTTATTCACTTTAAAATCCAAACACTGTTTCAGTCAAGTTGTAGTGGGATTTAAAGTAATATGTTTGTCTTTAGAAATTAAAAATTGTTTATTGCAAGTTTAATACTTTGTTCTGTAGTGAGAGATAATTCATACAATTGGAAGTTAAGTAAAATACCACCAACTGTCATCCCTTGAAGAATTCGAACTCTTGGCATTTTTTTTTCAAAATCTTTTTATATTAAACAGCTTTAATCAATTGGTTTCTGCTTGAAAGTACCTTTTTTCTTTCTTTTGTACACCATAAACATTTCAGTTAGATAAAAACCTGATGGAATGGTATTTTTGCTGGTAAACAAGAAGCAAAGCTATTTTTTTTCAATTAGAAAAATCAACAAGTAAGCACTGGCTCAACACACACAGTAAACATAAGTGTAAAAATAATCCTCCCAAAATGAACAGAAAATAAAAATATTTGTGATTAAAATGTTTAAAATATTCATGATTGTTCAGTAATCATTAAAGTTTAGGGGATGGTATTTGTAAAGTATGAAATCAGCAAGTAAAGAAATTAACATCTTTAGGGTAATACTGTATTTAAGATTACGAGTTACTATTATATTTTCTTTTTCTAAACATCTAAGTTTATATGTTGGAAAAAAAATTGCAGCATTCTCAAATGTTAACTAAAAGTTATTTTAATGTTTGTACTATATTCACCTGCCAGGATTTTCTTAAGAACTGTAAATATAATTGTCATTTCAATAACTTCGCATGACAGTTATTATACAAGGCAATACAAATGGAACCTGAGAATAATGTCAGTGTCTCTTCCAATTAAAATTAATACACCTTTCAAATACATTTTCCCAAGGTGTAAGAATTTTTTTGTTGTAGAGAATCATACTTACCAGAGATCAGCAGATTTAAAACATGTAGCATTTATAATGAAAAATATGTAAAATGTCTTGGTAAAAGTGGAACATTCATATTAGCATTATCTGCATATTAATGGCAGCACATGAACAGGAATACGTGAATAGGTTAAACATTATGAAAGGCAAGGTCCTACCACTACTTTATTGTTTCATGAAATAAAATTAATCTTATTTTCTTAACAACTCCAACAGGTGTAAGCAGAATTTAATAGGTTTTGTAGAGAAAGGGAAGGAACTTAACCAAATATTCCATGGCCCAGATTTAGTTTTAGGATGTGCTTTTTTTTTAAAATGTTAGTCTTTGGTTGTATTCATAACAATTCTGAATGATTTGGTAATATTCTTGTAACAAATTGCTTACTAGTACACCTGTGAATTGCATTGCAGTGATATAACTAACTTAATCTGAAAACACTGTGGAAAAGAGCTGAAAATTGACAAAAGGGGTTACCAGTTATCTGACATTTTGAAACCAGCAATATATTGCAAAGGCCACGACAGGGAAAGTCAAGAAAATTTACAACCCAATTGTAAATTTTTTTGTGAGTTATACATTAAATTTAAACAGACATGTACAATATTTTTGTGATGTAGCATTGTATATACTAAAGACCCTAGAAACGTTCATTACCAAGCAGTCGAAGTTCACAGCATTATGTCAATCCTCAGTTTCTTTATGGAATTTTTATGTTGTACTAGTTTTATAATGATATTTAATTAAATCAAAAATATTACTGTAAGTTCCTTTGTTTGAAGAAAAACACAATTTCTTATACACGAAGTCACTTTCTAAAAATCTTTCACCTGTAATTGTACAACCCATGGATAAAACCATTTTAACAATAATGTTTGCACTTCTATTTTTATGTAAATTCATATGCTAGACTTGTATGTCAGTAATATTTTTGCATCTCCAAGAGTTTTCAAACACATACACAAAGAAAAAAAGTGGTTATTGTTCTTACAACGAAGAGCCCCGATTTATCTAGGATAGATCTCCATGAAATATGGAAAAAAAAAAACGTTCAAATTTGTATGAATTTTATTACGTACCTGACATTGATTTTATCAGGACCCCATTAAATGTCAGACATAACGTAACAAGGTTTATTAGTTAATTTAAGATTTCTATAAATCTCTTACTGGTACGAAGCTCACCTGAGCTATTGTAGAAGTTTGACATTTGTACTTATGTGAAAAACAAAGCTATGAAACCAATAAAGTTAATTAAGTTTCATGGTACCATACAAGGGCTACCACATGTTGTAACTATAACTGGCTTGAAAAGAAGGGAATTAAAATAAGATTCTGGAACATTTGAAAGTGTCGAGGTCAAATGGTTGTTCCAAGAAACATGCCAGCTGTCTTACATACAAGTCAAAGTGTACAGTACTTGAAAAGGACACCAAATTAAATATTTAAGCTTTATATACAAATAATCAGTATTAGTGGAGGGTTGGAGGATCCAAGTCTTTTGAAGACCTTACCAAACAAAAGAAAAAAAAAGTGTACATGCTCTGCAATTATAAACTTGCTGTGTAATCTAGCCCTAGCTTTACAACAAATGTATCACAGTATCCAAATGTTTAACCTTTCATTACCTAGTACTGGTGAACCTAATTTAACAAAAGGGAAGGAAATTCTTTAATAAAATGTTTGATTTATAACTTCTAGAGTTATGTTCCTATACACATCTCATTTTTAAAATGTTGGATAAATAGAATTATATACAGACAAGTACCCTCAGGGTAAGATTGTCAGGTTTCTTTTAGGGGGGGGGGGATCATTATCTTCATCACAATCTCCTATTTTACTCCAAACTAAATTACTTCACCAAATATTGTTCTAAACTAGTGAAAACTTGCAAGAAAACTAATTACCACAAATTGTTCTAAATAGCTTCAATTAACCACGTCATTTCAGGTATATTTCATCAGGAAAAGACTAAGATACTAAACTAAGCTGAAAAAGGCTAGAATTACATAGTTCACAAATTTAAGTGAACCAGAAAATTGCTAGTTTCATAGTTGTGAAAGCTAGTATCTTACAGTTCTTCCCCGAGAAAGATCCGATAAACCCCAATTTAATAGAAACTAGCTAAATTTTTTAGTTAAGAAAGTATTCCTGTCCAGAAGAAAAGTTACTACAAAGCTAAACCAAATTGGCTAGTTTCCTTACATGAGAAGCTGTATGTTACACTCCTCCCCCCTCTGTGACTTCAACCAGTTAGTAAATACCAAATTATTTGTGATTGTTACTGAGAAAAGAAAACAACCAGATTCACTCTTTGGATTTGAAGTGTTTTCATGTTTGTAAGTTAATACTTTGATGAAATGTAACAAGTGTTTTGAAACTGTACCTTACTCATCACAATAATATACAGCTGAAGTCAGTGTTGTTACTAATACTTCATATTTTACAAATACTCTACAACACTAAAGATTAATTTGATATATTTATTTTCAAGAAACATTTTTGCAAGTTTTGAGAGGTGCTTTATTATTTGAAAACAAATATTCAACAATTTCATTTCTGTTAAAACTGGACAAAAATACCAGTTACTGAGGTGTATTAACACATCTAAGGTAAAAAAAAAAAAATATATATATATATATATTTACATTCATATTGGTAAAAACTTAGTTATGACAATGATGATGAAAAACCAAAATCTGGTTTGACAAGATTCATTACATTGTTTTCTAGTAAGCTTTCTCATCTAAAAATAACTTCAGTGCTAAAGAAACATACTCCAATAAAATATAAACAAAGATTTTACAACAAGAAAATGTTTTAAGGTTTGCAATTCTTTTAAAATAACTAAAATTACTTGTTGTGAGCACCAATATAACTTGAGATAAAAATCAAGATTCTCAATAATGTCTAACTTGTATAGTCTCCTCCAACTTTTTATTTAATAATTGAGAAGACAGGTTCAACTTATTACATCACAAGTCCCTTGTTTTTTACTAAAAAAAATTCCTTTCTTTCTCCAATTAAAATGTAAACTAAATCAAGGTTTAAAACAATGATATTTAAAAACATACAAAAGTGTTTCTTGTGCTCTCTTCAAAGCCTTCTTCTAGTTATGCGTTTTATCATGTACACCAAATAACAATTCTGAGGAATCACAATTTCACTTTAAATAAACTTTTTACCTTCTTTTCTTAACCAACTTTAATACTGCTTCTCCACTGCTATTAGACAAGTGGCCATAGCTGCAGGATCAAAGGCACCTAAAATGTTAACTCCAAGTAGTAGTAAAAAGTTACTTAAATATAAACTGTAGTTATAATAACTTGTTTGGATGGCTCGAGTCAGAGGAGTGTGCTTGTATTGCAAACAGCCTGGAAAGGTTTTTTCTTGGAAATTTGGCAAATCAGCTACTAATTTAAGATCCTAAGGTCATCCCCATTGATGTGGTGATGGAGGAAGTTCCAAGGGATGAGCAACAGTAGAGCTACAAAATTTATCAAAACAGATCAGTAAGGATAAATTTTTCTAAAATTATGGATTAACAAAATAATTAGTACAAGACTAAATTATTAATATCTTTGTTTGACCCACAAAATCACTATGCTACAGGCATAGTTTATACAAGTGATACTGTATTTGAAGCATCTGAGGAATGTATGGATGATCTAATACAATACACCCATTTGTTGGCTGATATAGGGTAGTTACTTATGAGAAATTGTATACATTTTAAAATATTTATACATAAAAATACTTTTCACGTTTACTAACTGTGGATTGACTTTTCACAGCATAGTGAACTTCCTTTATCATCCAAGGAAGGTTTTTTTCCTCATTACCATAATTGGCATAAATGTGCATGTGGAGATGATAAAGGGTCAACTGTATCTTGTTCCTTTGCTATGTTAATGTTTTGTTCACTATGACTACTTTATTTGTATCTTTACATCAATTTTTACTCATTTCTTTGGACTTTTTTTTTTTTTTGATACCTAGAGGTAGTTTCCCAATAATGTCTTGTAGCTAGCTTCATGATAAAAATATTGTATGTAGGACCCTGATTTACTATAAAGTGTATAATTTATTTACATGTTACTTTCATGTGTTTAAATCAATGTAATAGTTAATTTTTCAATTCACTAGGAAGTATTATTTTCCCAACATGTTTTAAATTAAAATTATTCACTCAATAATTGTGGGTTGTAAAACAGCTTCGTTCACGAATATGATAATTCTTGAAAAAGTCAGTTTTAAATATATATATAAAGGGATTGTCAAAAAACACCATGGTATGAACTAAAATTAAATGAATCTCTGAAAATGCATCTTAAAACTATCATCAGTACATA